GTGGCTTTGCATTTTGTAATAAAGGGTTCTAAGGGAGGAAACTACTAGAAATGAGGGCGAAGCCATAATATATTCATTGTGAGTTATCCACGTTAGTAGAACTTTACTAAGTTACAGAAACCCTTAAAAAAACTTGTGCGCCAACGGTACATAGTTGTTTACAACTTTGATTAATTCTTATTGTTTTTATAAATATGAATAGAAAGTTTTTAGCTTTTACATTATTTTCTTTATTAAATATAGATTTATTATTTATAAAACATATTGTTTTATGAAGCCTATGAAATGACCTAGTAAATAAAAATAAATTGTATATTTTATATTCAGTAAATGTAAATTCAATCGTGTTTCTTCTGGAGATACTTCAAGGAAACGAAGATTTAAGATCTCTGAACAATCTTTTTCTCGTAACGCATACAAACTATGATCTTTGTATATTTTATTTTTCATTGGAAATATATGAAATGTATATTATCAGTTTATTTAATTTAATATTTTAAAGGAAACATTAACGATTTAAAATTATATCACCTAAAATAATTCATAACTGATTGTCAATACTAAATTGAATATAATTCATAATTATTATAAAGTAATTCAATTATTATCAATGAAAATTTTGATAAAAAAAAAACATTTCGCTCATTAGAATTTTTGTTACATTAAAACTCTTAATTAAAATATTTATACCATCCATCGCATAATTAATGATAAAGTGAATGCCAAAAATGGAAAATTTTCTTTGGAGTGTTTCTGTACTTGTACTTGTAGAGTAGGTTCTAAATTAATTTGCTTCCCGGTCGCATTAAGGAAATATAATTGAAGAATCAGTATCTGGATTAAGTGAAAGCAACATTCTGATATCACTAATTGGTACAAGCTAGATGTAAAGTGTAAAAACTCCAATCCACTTGATTGGATAGTATTAACTGAATTCATTCGTTCGCCCGAGCCAATTAGAGTATAAGCAAAAAAAGAATCCCTTGTTTATGTAATCTAAGCCATTGATGAAAATTCTGACATTTTAATTACTTAAAAACAATTCTGTATACTGGTATAGAACTTAAAAGCTTTTAGCTTTACGATAGAATTAAGATATTGATGCAACATTTATGTATCCAAAAAGGTATCAGGCTTCTTGACTTGTTGTGTAATATTTTATTTATATTTGAAAAGATACATTTCATTTTCATTCTATTAGTGAGATAGTCTAGATAGACTTTTGGTTTAAATGAAATTTTAATATCGCACGATCTTCATTTTCATTCAATAAAGTATAAAACAACCATTGTATTTTAAATCTGAAATTACAATTGCCGAAAACTTCTGTAAATAGTATAAATTATATCGAGTTTATTTAGTGCTTAGTTTCTATTTTACCCGAAACTCGGTACCAACTAAACTCAAGTAGCCAATTTAAGCTAAGTTTAACGGTCTGTACCGCAGTCCTCAGCGAGCGAATAATAAGTTGTTATTTTCAGTCCTTGTGATTGTTATATACTTTGTATGTGTTATGTATGTACATACATATGTAGATTGCGTCTAAATATTTGAAAATCCCCAGACCTCTGTATAGCAAACGAATTTCCTAACTGCTAGTAATTGCTTAACTTGATATCCGCCATCCCGTCGTGTTTGCCTCCAAAACGTTCTGACTGACTCCATATTCAATTATCTTTATGGAGGGGTTGTAGAATCTGTAAATTACTTTCGCCATAATTTATGTGAAAACCTTAAAAAAGATATGAGATATTATTTCGGTTTATAAATCTAGATGTTCGTGCATCTTCCTACATCTTAATGTATAAATGCATGCAAATGCAATGGAATAAATTCAGGAAGACGCTACACTGAGTTTCATACCTGAACAAGAAACGCATTATACTCTTAGCGATGTAGAATAATTAAATGTTGCAATAGTAACTTTGCGGGCGTCGCGGCTTGTTGTCTCAGAGGATTGGCTGCGGATGCGTCTTAAAATAAATCATAAGTATTTAGGAGTTTAATTTAAACGAGAAAACCACAAATTTTAGTTCCTAACTTTATATTCCTGTTCAAATATAATTTGAAAGATCTCGGTAATTATGTTTTAACTACCTCTTTAACTTATACGTTATGATGGTTATATTGACGTCGTAAAGAAAAGCGATAATTTATTTCAGGCATAACAATAAAAGATTGGAAAATCAAAATAGTAGTGGGTTTCGAAATGTGTGTATGAATATTTATTAGTCTTCATACTACCACAATACATTTTCCTAAACAGACGTTCTTGAAGGTATAGTTGTGCCTATAGGACAAAAGAGTATTCGACTTATTTTTTTATGGAAATACTTAGAATTTTTTGTGTATAAGTTTAATGCAAGCTACTAAGGTATACTATTAGAACATAAACCCAAAAACCAAAATAAGAATCTATGAGAAATGCTGTAAGAAGAGATTAAAATAATTCTAAATTTTCCATAGGAATGGAAAATCAAAATTGAAGGCGATGAATATAAATTTTGCAAAAGATTACTTGTATACAATATGTATTAACTGCGCGTATATTAATTACACCCAAAACTACATCACAGTAGAGACATTTAATTGGTAAATTGCCACCATAAAATTATTAGCCGGTCACAAAACGTTGCAGCGTATTCAAATTATCAGAAATTCAATACAATTCCCACGTATGTGTTGAACTTGTTCAATTGTTCAGACCACGTATATTTATTGTGACGCTTTGTTCATCGAATTTCGACTATTTAATTAAGGGACGAAAAACATTGTTGGCTCCATTAAGCTCGTTTATAACAAGTACAGAATTATTACAAATTAAGTTCTCCAATGTGTACTCATATCACACAAAGGCTAAAATGGTTATTGAGTTTAATTATTAACTGTAAGTCCCTTTGATATAAATGCCTCGTTAAAAACTGAGTACTCGCATTACTTAAGAGGACTCGGATCGTAAAATGATATATATTATGTTAGTTGTTATATTATTATTACGGCATATCAATGAAAAGTAAAAGGAAAAATAATATATAAATGAAAGGAATTTCATTCTTCGATAAAAATACATTTGATTTGTGTATCGAATAAAAGCATTCAAAACCCGGTTACATATCACTTAAAAAAATATATTTCTACACAATACTCATCAAAGATAATAGAATATCCATTTATTCACATTATGAAACCATTGAAAAAGCTTTTTGAATGTCAATATCACTGTAACAAAAGTTCTCATGTCAGAATAGATACAGGTTTAATATTACGAGTTTTTTTTTTTTGTAAAAATGTAACATTAAATTGTAGCGAAATGTAGGAATAAAAATATACATAGTTAATTTGAATACAATGGGAGTTAGAATTATGTTTTGCAACAACGCTTATTACAATATTAGAATTTAATTTAATTTTTTTATATATTTAACTATATGTATATAAAATAGTAAATTTTCGTGGCAAGAACATTTAAATTCTTTAAACGAATGTCGAAATGCCGTGTCATTCAAGTGACATGTCGCTTTCAGGACGGCTGCTAACTAGAAACTTTTCTGTCCCGAATACAGTTCGTATATGAAAATATTTTAGAATTGTAATAACTTTTATTCGAACCAAATACGTTACAAGTTTATTTTAATACAAACTTTCGTAAATAACTTCTGGACTCGTTAAATATTGTTGTTTGGTAGTAGTTTAGAAAACTGGATCGTCCCTTAAAAATAAATAAAGGTAACAAGTCAATACCTATATAAAAGTTACGGAATGCGTGAAGATTCGACGTTAAATGTATGAAATATCTTAGTATCATATATAACTTAAGAGGTGTGCAATGACATCGATATCTCATGGCACACTTCAATGCCTTAATGGTGTTTTGCACTTACTTTACGAGATTTATGGTTGCTATGTTATTTTATGTGACATCATAAAATCAGCTTTATGTACAAACTTTGCGTAAAAGGACAACAAATTAACAAATGCCTAATAGCTTTTTCGTTCTTCAGAATTTGCATTAAATAATTGTAATTTATTCCTTCATTGTTTGTGTGTTCCTGTGTATCGAGCAACGAAAACATCCCCACTAAAACAAATCAGGAATAATAGAGTACAATTTTATTCCATAAACATTTAAATTGGAGCAAATCACAGGAGAGAATTGATTTCATTATGATGTAACGTGATATTTGAATAGAACAATTATAAAAAGGCATATTGATATCGAATTTGGGACCAATTAAGGAAACTGAATGTGATTAGTTATAAAATATATTTCACAGTGTAGTTCAATGGCTTGTTATCTGAAAGTACCTTGGCAGTTCGTTATCCACTAAAAGGCTTAACGTAACTAACCGAGTCGACCACTGCGTAACAGTTCATGCATCTATGAGTTGATGCGATGTTATATAATATAAATATGATGTCATTTAAATGTGTAGTTTCTATAACAAATATGGAAGTTTCCAGAATGTATTGATACACACCTTTCTTTGTATGTTCGCATAATTAGTAAGAAATATTGTTCTCATTACGAAGATTTTTCGTTATTAGAAAGTATGTTTTGCATTTATCTTAATATAATGTTTTAATGAATATTCCTAAGTGGAGATTCTTCAATTAAATATTCGCTGTTTATATTTGGATTTTATTTTCAAATAGTAACTCTAAATTTCTTTAGCAAAATCATTATACATATATACTGGTTATTTTTCCTTTTTCATATTGTTTATTTTTCTGGTATTATTTAACCTTGTAATAACAGTGATCGTAGTGATCGCTGTTATCATATATTACATATAAAATTCATCTGTTTCAGAATTTAACTGGACCAAACAGACCGGCAGATTGGCAATAAAATTTAAAATGGTATTTTTTCCTATACCTATCACATATACGTCATACGCTATAAAATAGCTATTTCGATTCAACGATACGAACGGACAATTTAATTTATTTTTATGTTTACTTGTGGGATTTGTTTGAAACACCGTTTCTGTATTCTTTAGATTCATGTCAACGTCTGGGCTGGGTGTATTCAAAGAGAAAGACGGGACAAGTTGTTAACAAGTTAGTTTTTAACTCGCTAGTTTTCCTTGAGAACACCGTTCTGGTCCTCATGTTACTGCAAGCCATGTGACATTGTGGACATAAGTAGGTCTTCGCGTGTATTACTTTCTAACTAGTACTTCAATGCTTTTTCAATTTCAGAAACAATATAAAAGAATCAATTAATACAACTATAAATACAATAAAGTTTATGTTAAAAAAATTTGTTTTTCGATCTCCCCAATGAAACAGATAAATATTTTGTTTGTAATATTCAATTATAAGAAAATTATACGTTGGAAGAATATTTATTACTACTTTTGATCTTCCAATGTCATTACGAGGTTCAGTTACTGGATATTTTTATCGGGTTTTATTTCGTTACGCTCGTTATAAGTTAATTTTCCACTTTTTCAATGAACTCTGAAAGAAAATTAACTGGACGCACACTTTAAATTTAATTTGCTTTTATATTTCACTACGGGAGTGTGAATAACATCATTAGCTTATTATTGTCGGTATTCTAGCGAAATAATTATCCATTTCGTGCGCTATACATATGTACATATATTCAAATGGTTATTAATATAGAATTTCAAATTTCAAATAATTATGTTGTTTCATGAGTCACTCGAAATTTTTAATTCCAGATCAAAATTAGTTTGAGTATTGGTTAAAATGGACAAAATGTTTGTGACAAGAAATTTTTTTACTGTCATAGCTCCTTAATTAAACTGTATGTATAGCTGGTTTAGCAAATTATACTTTAACATATTTTTAATAGCTTCTCTTCTAGAAAGAGCACTTTAAAGTGACTGTTATCTATGTCAAGTTGTTACCGCTTCATTTATTTTAAATAGAAAGTTAAGAACTTTACCGTTACGGCCAAACATGGAAGTTATGTACTTTGTTTGCATCAATCGAGGGCCTTTAATTAAACTAATTGCTTTCTGAGACATCAATGCAATCTTCTACTTACCGAACTGTAAATGTAGATATTGTTTTAAATGTCATTTATATCAATTAATATATTAATTTCTATCATTCCATTTAATGTAGAAAAAGACTTATATTATACCATTTTGATTTTTTTAAGGATCTGTTTTATATACTATGATATGTGTATGGGAGAATACCCTGTTTACAAATAAAGTATCTTTCGTTCTAGCTTTTGGAAATTTCTTATTTTTATATTAGGATATAATTTAATATAAATAATTGTCAAAAAAATGGTTTTTGGTAATATATATATTAAAAAGTTAATTATAATAATCAGATTTTGTCTGCTAACTGTTCCCAATAGTTGTTATTTTTTAATAAGCTATTTTGTAGAACGGAATGCTAAATACATTAAATATAGTAGAATTTTGGTATGAAAACCGATATCAAGCTAATTTCAATATAAATGTTCATTCCAATAATTTGTGCTTTCTATGCTACTTACGATTCAGCATTAGTGTCATATATGTTTTAATTTACTAGCAACTATTAATTGGTTGATAACGAGGACAAATTTAATATAGCATGACAATACAATTTTATAGACACTAATCTAAGACTTTCGGGAGTATTAGGTTTTATACTGCATTCACGTATGTTATTCGATATTTTGAGAACATTGCAGTGACTTAATAACTATTATTAAGATTTATGTTTAGATATTTTCATTTGAACATTCATTTTTTACATTTGTGCACCTAGCGCTAATTATGTCCACAGGTGTGGTATAGGAAAGGACATGACATTTTATATTTTTGATGAGAGGATCTCAGGTGTTAGACAATTGCCAGTCATTGTATTTTTTTTCAATTTCTTTAGTCTTGTGAAAAATCTTGCCTTATTTTATGGTTTCTCGAAACAGTTTGCATTAAGTCGTTTGTACATACGCATGTGGGAAACGGACTGTGGTTTATCATAAATTGGATAAACGAAGAGTTCTAAGGTACAAGGGTTAGGTGGGTACAAAAATACATATACCTCAAATATGTATTATTATAAATAGGCGTGTGTCGAAGTTAGTATGTGAACACATTGGACAGGCCAAGCCACCATATTTGGTTTGACAAACCACAGATTTCCACTCGTTTAGACATCAAACATAATATTATATAACACTAAAAACATTATATGGCTAATACGTAAATAAAAAAACTGTTAATAAAACTAAATATTTCTCTACAAAGTTTTTTGTTCCTCTTGTAGAATCAAATATATTTATTCGGACATAAAATGAAAACTAGGTCGCATTGCCTTGGAGTAACCACATTTCACCTGAATGAACCTTATTCTTCTATATTTACACAGTTTATAGTCTCAGTTTTGGTTTTAAGTTTCTTTTTAAGCAAAACTAAATTGTGTGACATATTTTAATCAGAAGATTTATTTTATTTTGTTTGTTAAGTCTGCTTTTAAAAGCTATTCGTGTCATTTTTATTCAGTTTCTTATATTAATACTCGTAACTAAAATCATAAGTAATAAATAAGGAATATTTGAAATGTTGTCTTTTTTATAAACACATGGAAACGGATCTCGTAAGAACGATTATTTATATTACAATTGTTTTAAGTTTCTAGGCTTAAGGTAACACTCATCCCAGTCCAAAAATTATTCATCTCAACGCAATCACGCTCGTCCTAAGTGGATTCACGCAAAATAATGCACATACATAATCAATGTACTGAATTATTGATACGGGACAAATTCCGCTTCAGCAAACGCAGGTGATGTTGGATTAAATGAACTCATATATTAACCGTATATAGACTGACTTGTTACTTGTTGTACCAAGGTATTAGATTTGAATTGTAGACACGCTTTTGAATCGTAAACGATGACTTCGACTTTACAGGCAACCGTCTCATTATTAACAAATAGGGTGAAAGAAATCCAAGGAAAGAGGCCGATAGAGTATTTTTTATTTTGACCCGAATAAATATGTTATAGCCTGAATAAAAGTCATGAAGTCCCCCATAATGAGGCCAGTTACGATATCGTTAAAACAAGCTAGCCGAATTTTTTCATACTTATAACATGAAAGTAAGACAAACATACAATTGTATTTATTTAAAAATATAGTGCCTGGCGATGAATTAAAAAATGTGTTATCTAATTTCCACATATTATTATTAGAATTATATTAAAGAACAATTGCAAAAAAGGAAAGAAGACAAGCAGGGAACCCAATAGCCTATTTAATAAACCAATTTTTTTAAAGATAGGCTCCAATCTACGTTATCAATATCTCATTTAGACAATTTTTTGGTTTCAAATCGTCACAATATAATTGAAAATTGTAATATGGTATAAAAACGTTGTTAAAACAATTTATTTCACAGTTCTGAAGTTAAAGCATTAATTTTCTCAAAGCTATTGATGCGAACTTATCTGAATTGAGATCATCGAGCCAGCCATTTATATCTTTTAAAATAATTTGATTACATAAACATGATTTTCATAAAATTTTGTTTATGTTTATTAAAATTTGTAATTTTTATTTGACCGGAAAAAATATAAATATAGATGTATTTTGTTTTGTGATATCACTTTTGTTCATTTCTTAATTCAAAGTTCTATACGCCACTGTAATGTAAAAAAGGAACAATTATAACAATTTGTATTTTTATATTATTTGAATATAAAATTTTAGCTACCATCTTTTTCCACTAAAAACATAGTTGTAATATTCTCATTGTAATGCAGTATTCTCGACGCAATAATAATGCTTCAGAAGTTCAAGTATTCTTTTATTATTGTAATCAAAAAGTTTGTTGGCCATTTCGTAAAGTCCAGGTAATATTTCTTGAGAATTTATTCACCGTTATTGTTTTTCAAAGTTACAGTACTCAACAAAAGACTGTTAATTTACTTTACGTAAAGAACACAAAGTGATCATTTGCAGCCGCATCCTTTCGTAAAGAGCTTTTTAAAACCCTTTTCACTATTCTGTTTTATATTTCAATCTTTATAATCATCTGCTTTTCAGTTCCCAATATTGGATTTGGCAAAAACTGTCGTATCCGAATGTCATTCTGAATAAGAGGTTGATAATTTTATTCGAACATTATTAAATAATCTAAGGTGTTCTTGATGATGTAAAATTTTAAAGTCTTCAAAAACATTTATTCGCATCACCGTATGAGAGAACACATCAGAGTCCGATGTAAAACAATGAAAAAGTAAACGGCAGCCCATGGTCTAGCGCCTTTACCGAACGGATTTAAATGTTCTTTATTTGGTGCCTCGTGCTTCTGTATGTTTTACATTTTCATCTCACCTGAGCTCTGAATTGAATTTAAGGGAAAAATGATGAGTTCTCGTTCGCTAAAAGTACATAGGCACTAACGGATTATATTGCTATAGAAGTAGGTTAAATAAAACATTCTCATTTTACACAATGTCCTGCTTTGAAATGAAAAATCGGGAACATTCGTGAATTGGTTGTTATCGGATTTTATATATGCTATGAATCTTTTATAAAAGATTTCATATTTTTAATCCCAGACTCAAAAAAGAGGAGTGTTATTCTGCCCGTCAATTCTATGTGTGTGTATAAGTATTTGTTTTTGTGAGAGTATCAGCTCTTTTCCAAAATGATGGAAGGCATTTTTGGCGTATGATTACTCGATTAAATGCTTCATGCATGCCATTAGTAGACAGTATAGTCTTTAATAGACATTTAAAGCGTGTTTTTTATATAATAATATTATTAGTTTTATTCAGAATAATTATTTATTTCTTTATGAGTTTAATTATTGATAATATTTTTATCAAGATTTGTATCTTGGTGCTGTCTGAGTAATTATATGTATGTTTATATTCTTTTATTAACTTGTTTTATTTCTAAACATGTATGATTGTTTTCATATGTTTTTGTTAATTCTTCAGGCCCAAGGGTAATTCTTTATCACAAAGAATTTGTTCAGTGTTTTTATAGCAAGCCGATATCTACAACAAGAGGATATTTATTATTTAATCCAGATAGTATGGCAGACCCTGGCTAAAGTTGGGAAATTGCCAGGAAGAAGAAGAGTATGTCTGAATTCCAATCTATCAAGTCATTAACGTAAACTATAGAGCATTTGATACTGTTT